TGTTGGTTCTTCGTTCGTAAACCTGGGACACGACGAACAGGAATCGAATGCTTCACAAATGGCCCGTAAAGAGATGAAGGTTGGATGAATAACAAAATAATCATCGACGTATCGACACACGCGGATTTCGGGAGCGAAAACATTTAATCGGAACTTAAGTGATCGGTCTACGTACATGAGACAAACTTCATTGAGCACCAGGGCTAGGCAGGAGCCTCTACAAGCACCTTTCGTTTGCCTTAGTATTTTGCCGTTGTATGCAACGAGAGTGGACTGAAGGTACAAGGCAAGGAGATCTATGAAGTTATGTACGGAAATCGCTGAGGTTTTTTCTAACTTTCAGAGACCGTGTTCATGAATTGCATATACACGGGATTTAAGAGAATAGGGGGGGGGGGGGGGGGGGGGGTTAAGACTGTAGTAAAGTTCTATATCAAAAGAAACATGGAGTGTGCCTGGGTGGTCGAATGTAGGGAAGGTGAGGTGGGAAATAAGTTCTGTGAAGTTTGAAATCTTAAAGGGCTGACACCGGTCTTGTTTAATTCAAGTTATTTTTAGGTTGCCCTCGGCCCAGCTCTTCAACTGCTTTTCAAAATCGGGAACTTGCTTGATTTCGGAGGAAGTTGCTGGCGGATAGAGCGAGCTGCGTTCAAAAACTCTGACCGCCCCTGTTCTGGAATAAGCGAGGCGACTTGATGTACCGAAGTCAATTGGTCAACTTTCGAGGTGGAAAGATCTGGAGAAATTTTGGGGATCACAGGAAAGCACTTCCAATGTACTAGGGGAAAGTTGTTGGTCACAAAGTATGATTGGAGGGTCAAACACTACTTTGCTGGCCTTGCAGCAAGATGCATTTATTGATGTAACGATGGTGCTCTATGGGGATTTTAGCAGTCGGGCAGCTGAGGTTTGAAGATGGAAAACTAGGTGTGAGCAGGAAACCCCAGCACCGATTCAAGCCCAGGGTGAGCTGTTTTCTTGCAAATGTAAATATCACAAGCGCGCTGGGTCTCAGACGAAGTAGATGCATCTTTGAAATGAAGCAGGCAGCTTGTAAGAAGGTTCACAAATTGAAATGCGTCGTGATAAGATGGGACTTTTCCATCTCAGTATTTTTATTCTTCCTGTGTGAACTGTGGTCCATCCAACGCGCTCTGCTACGTGTACTTAACAAAGTTTGCGTCGCTGATGGCAGCACGCTTTTTTCGAATAATGAACCTTAGTCTGGAAAATGCCCTTCGGCATTAGTGCTAGAAACGGGCAACGCTAGAAGTGTCAGCGCGCAGCGCGAGAGTACTGGCAATTGCACCGCATGAAGTCTCCGGAACGACATGGGATCAAAAATATTAGCAATTGTTTAGTTCTGATATTTTACATAATTATCAACGAGCTGGTGCACGTCTTCAGTTTCAAGAAACACGAGCCTTACAATGTTCTCATAGTTTTCAAACAGAGGGGGCGGTTCACGCTTCACATCTGGATTTACAATTTGCACATTGTACCAAAACAATTCGTTCTTGTACTTCAATTCATCGGCAATGTTCCTCTCAACCGTTTGGGACCACTTTCTAGTAACAGGAGCGTAGTAGTCATGACGTCTGCAACTGTTCTGGAGCGATCACGTTCATTAAAGATGTCTAGCAGACTTGCGACATCAGGCGGGAAGCTTATCTGGGATAGGTCCCGCCAGTGACTGAGCAGCACATGTAAACGAACTCCTAGTATCGGGTGAACGTCGTACACCATGGGTGCTCTCTGCTTTAAGTTCCTTAATGATTGACAGCACAACAAAATTATTTGACCTAAGAAACTTCAGCTTAATCAGTAAATTGTGCTGAACGTCAGGTGAGGAAACAAGAGCTTTCGGATCCTGACATTTCTTGCCTTTACCATCGTCGCTCCTCAAATAAAAAAGAAAGGCACGCCAGTAGTTTAGAATATCTTGGAGTGATTCGTGGAAGGAAAACCACCGAGAAGAACTCACAGTCGAACGAGACTTGAACTTCATGCCCAAAGTCTGGCATATTAGACCGAACTTACGGCTCAGCTCTCGAGACGACTTTAACAAGGCTGGAAATTGCATGATAAATTTGTGAACGGCCTTAAATGAGTCCGCCTTATATTCGTAATCAAGAATATTCTTAAGAAGGTTGCATGGCTCCTTGAAGTGGACTGCCATGAATTGGGCGCTAGAGAGTTCCAAGTCCTTGTAAAGCTTTTGCGTGTGGGAAGCTGAGTCGAAACACAACACATCGGTTAAAGGGCAACTCCACTCAAAAAGTCGATCCTATAAAAACGGCTGATATCGCGTTAAAAGGTGGGTCAAAATACGGTCATATAGCCAAAATACCACGTCGAACCGACGCCGCATTCTCGATTAAAACCAATTTTTAAAAATTTTCTACCAGCTGGGTTAGCGGCCCGACAGCGGGTGAGCAGCGCTGGCGTGCTCGAGCTATAGTGAAGCGACACTGGACAATGACGTAGGTTTCGTCCTATGCTCTCGTAGGGACGCCGCGGACGCTTCACTTCCCATTGGGATTCTGCGATTCTGCTGACGGCAAGAGGTGCTTACTGCGAGACGAAAATCGGGCGTGTGGTTACAAGGAAGAAAAAACACAGCACCGGCAGGCCTTGGCTCTCAGCCTAAAACAGAAGAATGCAAACTAGAGAATAAGCAACCACACTTGTCCGATTACATGATGGCAATCATACGGGAAAATTAAAACCGCGATAACCTCCACTTTTAATAACATGCTGAACACGGTAAGTGGTACACTGCACTCCTGCGTTCACGTAAGCCTCCACCACGTAATCAAAATACCTATAACCAGAGATGGCGAGTGACAAGCAAATCAAATTGCCTTGTGCGCTGCGCTATCGCCTGAATACGTCAGCAATTATCGTCATTATTTTTTGGTCGTGGTTTATACAGTTTCTTTTTTCGCCGGAGCTGGGAACGAGGATGAACGGTGCATGACACTCAAGCCGACTGCACTTACACGTTTGCAAGCAGGGAATCGAGGCACCGCTCATGGTGCCAAGCCCATGCAAAGGCGCCTCGTAAAGTTGCCTTCTGGCGCATAACGCGCGGGCTTGCAGGCATGGAGCACCAAAAGGGACGACAATATTTGCAATAGAGTTTATACCTGGAGCTTGGTATATACAAGTACGGAACAGCTACGAAGTGGTCTTGAAGTACGCGAAACGGGGATGACATCAAACAGTCGCCGCTCGATCGCAGGTCGCAGCAGCGCTATCTAGCGTACACATAAAGGCACCTTAGCTTTACCAACTTAGACCACTTGTGTATACCGTCTGTGTCCCATTATTTCTTTTTCTCTTGGTCCGCGAAAAAGAAACAAATACAGTCACGCTGCGCCGGCACTGACCGCGTCATATTATTTACGGCAGTCGGATTCGCTTTTCGGCCGGAAAATTTATAAGTACACACTAACACTCACTACATTTGGTCCATATTTACAAAGTGCAGCGGTAAAAAAGAAAATGCGCAATTTACCTTCCCTTTTGAAAGCCCACTTGCGACTGAGCCGGACGTGTCGGTGCGTCGGCTCAGGAGCGCGGGACGAGATCTACGTGATGCAGCGCAACTGATTATCAGTGCTGCCAAGGTGCTCGAGTCGGTAGTTTCGGTTTCGCCGTGCCGCCGAAACGAAACTTGGATACGCGATATCTACAAAACTATACACACTACCGAAAAACAAATTATATCTCGTGATTCAGGGTTGCCGACTTCGACTAAACAGATCATAACCCAAAAATTGTAAAAATGGAGTGGAGTTGCCCTTTAAAGGGGCCCTGCAACGACTTCTTTTCTCGATTTTAATTTGCACCGAACCTGAGGGCAGTGAACGTAGTAACTTAGTGAAATTCTCGTATTTCGTTTTATTTTAGAGGGTATAGGCAGGTTAGTATTACAAAAACAAGCAAAAAATAACCTCCCTCATGACGTCCCTGGTTCTCATAGCTAGTCGTGGCTTGGGTGGCCGTGAACTAGAGGAGGGGTAGTGAGCTCAGCGAGCGCTCACGGCTGCTGTATACTTCGTTTCGATGGCTCGAGAGGGCGCCAGTAAAGCATGTGCTAAATAGGCTGGATGAAGCGGGCGGCCAGGGCAACGTTGGGCCAGGGCGGCTCGCATTGCCTTTGCTGCGCGACTAAACACTAATTCGGCATGAGACTTCATTGGTTACAAACAAGAGCAAACACGGGGTAAAGATCAGTTCAGAACAGGAGCCACTTCGCGCTGCCGAACCCCCAAACGGCCAAACCTGCTCACCAAAGGACTCCGGAACGTTTTTACGCTTGCCACTTCACAGCAATCCGTGGCTCGCGTCGGCGCCTGATCCCACAACCCCTTTCTAGCATGCGCCGCCTTTTCCACCGCTTGGTGGCGGGTATGTTGACGGGCCATTTCTTGTTTCCATATTTTGGAAACTGCATTTGTTTCATTTATGATCGAAAATACTGAACAAAAACTGCTTTCGTAAACATTTGAAACGGTTCGCGCCACTTATATTTCGTATTCCGACTAAAAAAAAGCTTTTAGCGGCTCTGACCAGTCGTAAGGCAGGAGCTGGCCAGGGCCGACAACGTCGCGATGTCGTAACCGTACAGTTATTATAATGCACGCTAGAGGTTCAACTGACGCTAGAGTGCTGCTGCAAACTGAAGCAGACAGCAACCAGTCCAAAATTGACTTCCGGTAATGCATTTCTATGGAAAAAAACGAGTGCCCTTTCTTTCTGCGCTCGATTATAAGAGCAAATATCACGAATATTTCGTGATATTTGCTGAAGACAGGGTTTCTCAGCGTCACGTGCTCAGCATGCCCTCAGTTCTGCAGCGCGAGCTTTCTCCGAGGCTGTCAGTTTATGCCTAGGCTTATGTTGTAATTACAGGAGATTGGTGAGAAAGAAGGAAAAAGAAGACGGTGCATGGTGTTCTATTGCACGAATGCTCAAAGACAACGTACCCACACATGGATCCCCATCCAAGCATTGCGAATCCAGCCGATAAGGAGCCTGACTCTACTCGCAGACAAGTTTTCGAGGGAACCGTCGCGCTCGGTGACGGAATATTTCAAGGAATGGTGATTGCATGCCAGATTATCGCCGTGACGTCTTACATGTGCCATGCCACAAGCTTTGCGCTGACGGCCCGCATCATGGACCACTGGTGTCGACCTCCCGATGACATCAACATGAGCACGAGCCAGTGGAAGAATATTGCCATCCCAGTCACGGAGGACGGACGCAATAGCCAATGCAGCATGTACAGTCCACCGCTGAAGACCGAAAATTCCACGATGCGCACCCTCATTCCCTGCACTGAGTGGGATTTTGATCTGGAAGAGTACGGCAGCACCATCATCAGCGAATGGAGCCTGGTCTGCAGCCGCTCCTGGCTGGCACACCTGGCTTCGCTGTTGTTCCACATCGGCGCAGCCATCGGTGGTGTGGTTTTCGGAACGGTGGCCGACCATATTGGACGCAGACCTGTCGCCTACTTCTGCATTGTGATTAATTTATTGGCAGGCTTTGGTAGCGGACAGCACAACTCGTTCTTCGTTTTCGTGACTGTTCGTTTTATGGTGGCGGCAAGCTCGGACACCTTGATGAAGGTATTGTTTGTGATACTTTACGAGGTGTCCTCTCCTCACAAGTGGTTAATGTACTCTTTTCTTTGCGGCTTGGTTCCGCTGGTCATTGTTCCTGTCATCATTGTTTCGCTAACTTTGTTCAAATTGAGCTGGATCGCTGTTCACACGATAATCATGATCCCCACGTCGTTGCTTGTGGTTTCCTTCTACTTTATCCAGGAGTCACCTCGGTGGCTCTTGGCTACTGGGAATATTCAGGAGGCCCGGAGAGTGGTCATCCTGGCCGCCGCGACCAACCACGTTTCGCTTAAGATCGCAAGGCGATCTTTGATGAAAGCGGAGGCCGATATGAAGGGCGTGGCCGCCGAGAACCAGAGGACATCGCCTCTCACCATCAAAGAGATGTTTGTTGATCCCACACAGAAAAAGAGGTCGAGTGTCCTCTTTTTCGCCTGGTTCGCCGTGGACTTCGCATTCTCAGTGAACATCTTGAGGGACTATTTCGTGTATTACCAGTCGTTCATTATCGCCTATGTCGTGTTCATGCCCCTGGGTTTCGCTTTCTTGTTTTTCGCCATTGATCGATTTGGCAAGAAGAAAGTACTAGTGAATATCGTCTTACTGCTCAGCGTCGGAACTGTTCTTCTGACTGTCACCTACGACGACACACCGACAGCAATAACCAGTGCCTTGTTGGTTTTTGTCAAGATTCTCTCCTCGCTTGCCATATTTGTTTTAGCCATTTTCACGGTTGAGCTCTTCCCCACCGAGCTTCGCTCCACTGGCTTAGGTGCCACAACCGGATTTGGGACCGTTGCGACGATTGCTACTATGCTGCTCACCATCTCTGAAACGAAGCTTCGCAAGGGGGTGATGCTCGCACTCATCACAGCCCTATCAGCTTGTGGGGCACTTGCACTGCATATGCTTCCGGACATATCCTCCCCTACACTGTTCTTCCGGCAACCCGAAGATAAAGAAGAGGACCGAAAGCAACGAATTCTGGCCTCTTTAAGTCCAGTCCAGTCGCGAAAGTCAATCAGCAAGGCCAAGAAGAAAGCACCCGGCACTTCCGTGGCTCTGCCACTGTCCTCTGCCTCCCATGTTGCTTCTGAAAAGCTGAAACGAGTCCTTCGATCCTCAGGAATCGGTTCTAGGACTTCATCATCATCTCAATCGGACCAGATGCATAGCCCTGCTAAGCCACGTACATCAAAGTAATCGGGAAGTCCGAGACGAACAAGGGTGTGTACAGACTTGGAAGGATGTAAAGTGATATGGTAGAGTGATAGAATTGCTGGCAGAACTTGATGCACATATTAATGGAACTTGAGACGTTTTTAGTGATAAAACCTGATTTCGCTTAGATTCAGATATTGCGGATATAGAGATAAGTTTTCGGATTCATTCTAAAAATTACGGGGGGGGGGGGGGGGGGGGGGGGGTATTCGCCAGATGTACCATCAGAAGCCCGTCATGTCTAGATATTGTTCAGTTATGTGGTCACAACACCAATTAATTTTGCTGCTTTCAGTGAGCTTAGCCAATCTGAAAGGCGAGTGTACTTTCTCCCAGGAGCATTAGTTCTTTGAACAAAAGTTTGGTTTTTGGCCTGGGAATTTAGGGCCTTAAAAATTCCTACAGAGCGCGAAGTAGCCAAGGAAGATCCAAATACGGCCGTCTTTACACAGAGTCCGGGTATCTTGACCCTAATTTGCCCTAAAAGTGCAAGGGTTAAGCTTCACTTCTGGTTGTTTAGTTTTCATGCGGCAACTTCGGCCCTAAATTTCCAAAAAATGTACCAGTTTTGGGCTTCCCTGCTGGTTCTTCGGTTACCATGTGACAACTTTGACTCGAGGCTGGCACTTCAGCAATTATATGGCGAGCCAAAGAAAAGCCTTAGAAACGCAGAAGAAAAGTATTCTGGCGCCTTGGAACAAAACCACATTAGGTCAAAATTAAGCTCCCCAAGATCCTCAGATTTCGGCGAATTCGGCGTTTCTCTAGCATGGTACCTGGACAGTGGTGTTCGTAATGCATTCTGCTTATAATTATACTTTTGATGAAATTCGGCGGGTTTTTTTCGGTGTTTATTTTTTAACGAAAATTCGGTGTTTATCGGAGTTCATTTTTGATAAAACCCCAAATGTTCGAAATTCAGAGTTTACTTTCTCTAAGCTTACAAAAAGAATCAAGAGAGAAGGGACAAAACGCAGACGCATACTGTGTTCCCAGTTTCCGAAAGTTTTGGATAAAGAGGAAGAATATCCTCTAGTTCACGGTCACCCAAGCCAGGACTTTCAGGTAGCTGTGCATGGGCGCCGCCATAACCGACCTTCAGCTTTCGTTCCTTCTTATTCCGTTTGCTTCACTTCATTATTGCCACAGCAAGACAGGTTATCGCCATCTCAGGTGTTACTGCGTCCTTCTTCCCAGCATAGCCCTTTCTGGAGGCTCGTCAACACCCGCTTGAGATGGTCGGCATCTCGGTAAGACAAGAGAAGGTCGGCTATGGTGGCTGAATTTTGCGCGCGCTGAAAGCGTCTAGCGCGCGCCAAATTCAGCCACCATAGTCGACCTTCTCCTGTCTTACCGAGATGCCGAGCATCTCAAGCGGGTGTTGACGAGCCTCCAGAGAGGCCTATGCTGGGGAGAAGGACGCAGTAACACCTAAGATGGCGATAACCTCTCTTGCTGTGGCAATAATGAAGTGAAGCGAACGGAATAAGAAGGAACGAAAGCTGAAGGTCGGTTATGGCGGCGCCATAACCGACCTTCAGCTTTCGTGGGCGAGGGCGTGAGAATGGTCTTGAAGAGCCGAGAAATGGTATCTTGTTATCTATAATAATCACATGTCGTTAGCATATTCTACTTGCTAAGCCAAATAAATATTTGCAGCTTGTGAGAATATGTTTGCGTGACGATTTACCGTTCGCACTCCTGACGGATGTTAGCGAATCCTTTGTGTTCGTGGCTCACAGATTATCGGTACCCCCTCGGAGTGACTTCATCATTTTTTTTTTTTTTTTTGCTTGCAGGATATTGTAAGAATCACAAACACGCGAGAGAAAAAAAAATCTTATTGCTACGGCCTTATTTCCAGGAGGTGATGGACATACCAACATCTAGAAATAAGGCCGTAGCGCTCCGAGTGGGCACGTCACAATGTCGAAGGAAGGAAGGCCGTGGCGCAACTACGTGAGAAAAATTTCTGCTGTCGACGGATATTGACGTGAAAAAAATCTTTACTTTCGAGCGGCGCGGTAATGTTCGTGCGCGTTTATCCGACATTAATACACGTTTTAAAAGTGCAGTCTTGTACAATTTATTATATATATTAATATAAACGTAATATACAATGCGTTACCAAGGTTGAAAGTACCAAATTTATATTTATGATTATCCCCGTAACCCCGGGACTACGCGCAGTCCCGCAGCTCCCCACACTCTTCGGCTGCTTATTTTCGGCACCGATTTGGTGTCCTGGGGGCGAAGCATACCTCGGCAAACCTCACTCATGAGGGCCCTAACTCACCCTCACTCACCCTCATCTTCACAGGTGAGGTGAGGGTGAGTGAGTTTCTGAACCAGAAAAATTCATGAGTGTGAGGGTGAGTGAGGGCCGTGAGGGCTGTGAGGGCGGTGAGGGCCGTGAGGGCTATGAGGGCGGCGAGGGCCGTGAGGGCCGTGAGGGCGGTGAGGGCCGTGAGGGCCGTGAGGGCCGTGAGGGCCGTGAGGGCCGTGAGGGCCGTGAGTGCGTGAGAGGCGTGAGGGCGGTGAGTGGCGTGAGGGCCATGAGTGCGTAAGTGGTGTGAGGGCGGTGAGTGCGGTGATGGGTGTGAGGGCCATGAGTGCGTGAGGGCAGTGAGTGGCATGAGAGGCGTGAGGGCCGTGAGGGCGGTGAGTGCATGAGGTGTGTGAGGGCCATGAGTGCGTGAGGGCAGTGAGTGCGTGAGGGCAGTGAGTGCGTGAGGCCCCCTTCAGATCGAGCATCTTTCTCAGCAATTTTGGTGTTAATGGAGGGTTGTTCTCTAGCTTTCCCTAGATCGACACGGGTTGCTGAGATCGGGTCCGGCTCGAAATAAGCAAGCAACTCGGAGCAATTCGAATACGTTTGAAGCGGCTGCATCCAATCAGGGACGCAAAATTTTCCCGTGATACCTCGTGCCGGTGACACCAAATGACTTGGTTCTGGTTTGAAATCGATCGTTTCTTGGAAATAAACTGTTTCAGAAAGGTGCATTAGTATTCTTAACGAGATTTAAATGCAGATTACACGTTTATAACGCGTAATTGTGTCTAAATAGTGCAAGAAAAATAAAATATTACGATGACGATGGCAAATTGCAGCAATTGGTTGCTGCGTGTGATCGCGGGCGGCCCGTGTTGCTGGTGTTGCGACGTAAAGTTTCTGGGCGAAATTGCCCCACCTGAAGCTGGCCTGAGTGGCGTGAGGGCCATCAGTGCGTGAGGGGCGTGAGGGGTGTGAGGGCCGCAAGGGCGGTGAGGGGCGTGAGGGCGGTGAGTGGCGTGAGGGCCGTGAGGGCGGTGAGGGCCGTGAGGGTGGTGAGGGCGGTGAGTGGCGTGAGGGCTATGAGTGCGTGAGGGCCGTGAGGGCGGTGAGGGTCGTGAGGGCGGTGACGGCCGTGAGGGCGGTGAGTGGCGTGAGGGCGGTGAGTGGCGCGAGGGCCATGAGTGAGTGAGGGCCGTGAGGGCGGTGAGTGAGTGAGGGCCGTGAGGGCGGTGAGTGCGTGAGGGCCGTGAGGTTCAGTGAGGGTGAGCGAAGGGCTGAAGGTGAGTGTGACTGTGAGGGTGAGGGTGAATGAGGGGCTGAAGGTGAGTGTAGCTGTGAGGGTGAGGGTGAGTGAGGGGCTTAGGTGAGTGTCGCTGTGAGGGTGAGTGAGGGCGACCTAAAATGCCGACCTCTGGGGCGAAGTCAATGACGTCACGAACGTCAAAAATAACAGCTTGTATTTTGACGTCTTCGTTATTTTGACGTCAACGACACGTTTTCTTTGGATGCCGCTAACTGCATTTTGAAATGTCGGTCGCCCGGCGTATGTGTGACCGGGTGCTCGGCGATGTCCGCGCTGGTGCGTGTTGCCGACGTTGCCGCCTGTACTCGTCGCGTTCTCACGAATATCAAAATAAGCCGTTCTCCATTTTCAAACTTCGCCCGGTGTCGTCCGTCACTCCTGTTGCAAATCCCGATTACGTGTACCGGAGGTGACAGAACCCAGCCGCAGTAATTTTGTACGCATTTTTCTGGAGCTGTATAGTAGCCTTGATAGGCATGACTGCGCCCGCTGCAGGAGCTTTCCTGCCGGGTGATCCAAAGCGCTTTTAGCACTGTCGTCGACAACATTCTTTTTTTCATTTTTTTTTCAGTGTTAATCGTAAAAAACAAATGTAAATATCGCCAAATGTCACAACAAAACAAAATGTTTAAAAAAAAGAAAAGTACGCCACCACTGCGGATCGAACCTACGACCGCTTGCGTATGAGGTAGGAACCGTAACCGCTAAGCTACACTGCAGCTTTTTTTCTTTTTTTTTGTATAAAACGTGTTTATTTACAAAGTAAAAGCCGCCAACTTGGCAGCAGCAGAAGGAAGAAGCATATATGCACAGCACTTTTCTAACATGTCACTAGCATGAAGCAGCACGCTTGATTAAAGGGTAATGATCATTTACAAATTATAGTGTCTATTTATATTTCTGGCTCTTTTTGCCATGTACATTTCTAAACAGGATTTCATGGCGGGCCACTGCTCAAAGTCAGACATTTCAGTGTGCTCCAGCACGCTGCAGGTGTAAGCAAAGCCGTCCACAAAGTGGTTCCAAGCGGGTTTGCCCTTCTCAGCCACCATTAAATGGTCCACTCGAGACTTCCAGATCGCGTGCAGCCCGAGTAGAAAAAGCACTTCGACACATTTTTTTGTTATCGCCCGCTTGGATTTCAAGAAACGTCATAGTATTCCAGTCCGGCCGTGTGTCTATGCTGAACGCGTGGCCGAGCTCCGACAAAAATATCTCAGCGTTTGTACAGTACATGAACACATGTTGTAAAGTTTCCGAGAAGGGACACAATGCGCAACTAGTGGTCCACGGCACAGAGAACCCTTTGCCTTCGAGCCATGTCTTCACGGGTAGAACTTCCATATGGAATTTAACAAAAAAATCCTTTGTGCTTGTTTGTGCGGGATGTTTCTGCAAACGTTT